TTTTTATCCATGACTACTATAATGCATGATTTAAATATTTTGTTTGCCAGGTATTTAAATTAACCTGTGCTTAATCTAATGCCAATCATTCTGTATTTATTTACATTTTATATATACACAAAAATATTTATATACATATTAATTGTGTAAATGTTTAATAAATGTGAATCAATTTTAATTTTGTTTATTTTAATATCTCAGCAAAGACAGGTAATGATGGCAATCCACATAAAGACATTCATGTAAAGCAAGCTGAAAAAGATTATTACTCTGTAATGAAACCTATCAAGAACACGGAAAAGAAACCTTGAAAGGTACTTGTCAAAATGGCGTTGAAGAAGAGATGCCACTATCTCTTTCCATAATATAGGGAAATAATCACCTGATCTTGGATATATTTCAATAATAAGTAACTTGAAGTGGTGTCCTATCTATAATTGGGGTTAAAATTTCTTTTCARTTCAACAACCACTTATTAAACATCTCTGCCAGATACTGTTGAAAATACAAAATTAAATAAATTAGTATAGAGCAAAATATTTGATTATTTCTTATACATTTTGTAGGATTAATGAGTCTACTTTGTGATATTTTATTCATTAGATATTATTAAGCTTCTACTTTGCCAGATATTATACACTTACTCATCACACTCATTAATAAAAAAATTATGAATGATTTTTTTATATGTTGGCCATAGAAATTTTTGCTTACTCCATGAGTAGCCTTACTTTAAACTATTTTCAAACACTAGGTCCCCCTGACCCTCAGTTTATAATGAGTTGTAGGGAAGGAAAATCATATTTTTCTTAGAATTTGGCTCTGGTGTTTAGCATTCAAATTAGTTAAATTAAAAACAAAAACAATAACAAAAAACTTTTTACTGGTTGCCACCATGCCTCATATTTTTATTGAAGGGAAATAAAAGCAGATTGATATCCTGAAAGGCTAATTATCTTTCATACATTCTTGGTAATTTTATATTCATATGTGCAAAATTTTCTCCAAATGGAATTATTCATGTTCTAATGCTATCTCATTAGCAGCCTTATTTGACTTTCAAGATGAATATTACTAACATTGAATCCTACAATATGCSTGTCTGTTTTTAGCTACACTTATCCATTTTTCTGCTTTTTTGAAGGTTCAGATGTTTTATAAGCATTCAACCTCTAGAGAMTTTCTTGTTAAATTTTAAGTTTTTGGAAAGATAATAATTAGGAAGAGAACTTAAAGAGAGCCCTGATGATAGGTAACTTCTTGGGAATGTGTTTAGAATCCAGTTTTATCTGAGTTACGTGTTCAGCTTCAAATGGTATCCTAAACAGATGTAGGCAATTTACCTGTTGCCTTGCATTGCAATGGGACAATCTGAAGTATAATCTTATAAGATTAATACTTTTACCTGATAAAATATAGTTCTTCAGAAAAGGGCTTTCAAAAGGCTCTGATGGTTTGGGGAAAGGTCCATAGAAAAGGATTAAGTATGGATAAACAGTAATACGTTTCTTGTCTTAGTTTTGGGTTCAGTCTTCTCAAAAAACTAATTACCCATGATGTGAATATGGTAAGTTCCCAAGACTCCTGTAGAACTTATGGAGACTGTGGAAAATATTAAATAGTTGGGAATGGATGAATGAATGAAGGCAGCAAGTTTGGTCAAGTGGGTAACCTCAAGCATTTCTTGAGTATGACTTGTGTCAACAAAGCCAATAACACAGGCATATCTGAGGAAGACTATTTACTTCCTAAGGGATCTTCGACAGAAGGAACCAATGAACTTTTCTAGGAGATACAACAACCCCTATAGCAACAGAACCTTCTCAATCCATTGGAAAAATAGTTATCACAGGAATAGAAGTTACTGTGATATGGTGTTTGTATTATGGACTTTCCCCCTTTTAGAGTAGTTTTGGAATTTGTTAAARTCAGTGCTTCTTACAAGTGAAGAATCAGCTTTTGGAAAAATCCAATGAAATGATTTTCCCAGTTTTCTGAGTAGGATAACAAGTCATACTTCTGATGATTCTGACTTGGAATTTTGTGGAGAAACAAGTTCTCTCAATGGTGGTTTTAGTAACAAAACTTTTATTTATCTTAGAAGATAACTGTCATTTCAGGCTTTAATGGCAACATTTATTAAAATTTAAGGGACCTGAAATACATACATACATATAAATACATGTGACGTGTAGTATTATACCTCCATTATACAGCATTTGAATTCAGCATGAAAACACATATTTCAATTATTTAGGTACAAATGTCTCAAAGATTTGATACAATAAGCATTTAAAGTTGACTATAAAGATGTCCTCTCAATTACTGGTCCAATAATATGAAGCACTAAATTTTGCAAATAATTTTTGCAAATAAGTCTTTTCCTATATTCAGAATACCTTTTGACTTATAACAAGAAAAAATTACACTTTTTTGGTTTTTAAGAACAATAAGGGCTGGGGTTGTAGCTCAGTGGTAGAGTGCTTGCCTACCCTGTGTAAGGTACTGGGTTTGATTCTCAGCACCACATATAAATACAGGTCTGTCAACAACAACAACAAAATAAATAAAAACCAAAAATAAACAACAACAAAAAACCGAAATAACATCATTGCTCCAATTCAACCATATTCCTAAACACATCTGGGCAATTTCATGGAAAGAATTATATATATCATTACTTTTGATATAAAACTATATTTTTGAGATATAATTCACCTTGATGTTGTAATTTTGTTAATTACCTTGTAATTTTTATAGCCAAACTTTTTTCCTAGTGCTTTAATAATCATTGTCCAAGCCAGGTATGGTAGAGCACACCTGTAATCCAAGTGGTTCTTGAGTCGGAGGCAGGAGGATAGCTAGTTCAAAGCCAGCCTCAGCAAAAGCGAGGTGCTAAGCAACTCAGTGAGACCCTGTCTCTAAATAAAATACAAGATRGGGCTGGGGATGTGGTTGAGTGGTTGATTACCCTGGAGTTCAATTCCTGCTACCAAAAAAAAAAAAATTGTCCAAAGAGACACTTCCTTCACAAAGGCATATTTAAAGCTGTAAAATAATTTTTCCACATTATTGGTAATAATATGGACATATTCRAATAGTAATATAACTTCATATTTTAGTTTTCATGTATATGAAATCTAAAAATGAAGAATAATTTATAAATTAATATTTTGTTTTCAATATTAAGGCACAATATATYCAGACAGATGGTCAAATGACATAATTCTGAAGAATTGATAATCATAATTAAATTGTAGAATGTTGTATAAGTCAAATAATATAATGGTAGCTGAATCAACTGAATTTAGACTTAAGACAGAAATTGGGTTATTCTTCTATTGATGTATTAAAGATGTGTATGTTTATTTTATACAYAAAGTACTATTTTTCTAAATTCAATAAATATAGAATTTAATAATTGTTTTCTATGTATAATTGAAGCTCAGAAATATCCTTTGAAATATTTAAAACATAAGAAGATAGATTCAATTTATTTTAAAACAAAATTGAAATAATAACACAGTCGGACTTAGACTACAATTTTTATGTGAGGGTTTTTAGTACATATGTGCCAATTAATAGTTCTCCTCACCTAAGAAAAATTTGAGTTAAGATACCAAGAGTTAAAAAGTCTTCTCAGGTAATACTTTACCACTGCCTCACTGAGTTACATATATTTTCTTCTATAATTATTATTTATTAGTTTATTTTAGAAAATAGAATTTCAGCCTATATTTTTAATTTTTGAGGAGTTAGAAACTTAATGTGATAAACACAATATATAGATACATAATATAYATCTTTAGTTTTAAGAAGCATGTTTAATAAGATTTTAAAAATATTTTAAATGTAAAACTTTGAAGATAATAAAAACCTATTTTGAATACACTCTTTGGTCAGACAAAAACATCTATAATACTGAGTAAGTCAATTTGAGTATCAAAGCAATATTCTTCGTAGTTCGAATTAATTTAATAAATTTCAAATTCAGAATTCTAGACCAACTGAAATATTTGTAGTCATGTAATAGTGTCTTCACAGCTTTACAGTTTTAATAAATATTTTAAAATTAAATYTACATAATGTATTCAAAATTTCAACTAGTATGCTATCTACAGAAATTTATTTTAAAGTGATTTAAACCAAATTATGTTCTAAAGAAAATTAACAACTCAGTTTCTTATGTAAATATTTATATTAAATGAATTAATAAAAAATTAATATCCATATATATCAAATAACTTCTAAAATAATGTTATCTAAAACAAATGTGCAGCTACTCAGGAGACTGAAGYAGTAGAATCACAAGTCTGAGGGTAGCCTGGCTAACTTGGGTGAGATCCTGTCTCAAAACTAAAAAGGCTGGGGTGTAGCTCAGTGGTATTGTGCTCCTGTGTTTAATACAAAATTCCATGATAGATAGATAAATGAACCTCCATTGATTGGTATCCATTTATTGACATTTACTAAATTTATAAATGAGAACTTATGAAAGATGAGCTAGAATTGGTGATTTCTATACATTTTTATAAAGGACAATATGAGTGTTTGTTATTTGAAGATCAAGTGTGCATACCTTACATTTTGATCTTTCAAGATATTCATTGAGATATTCAAATATTCATTAACTACTTTATGCCAAGAACTATTCTAGGTGATGCACTATGTATGTTTCAATGATGTAATATTTTGGTACCTTTTATGCTTTGTGAAATTTATATCCTTTTTAGATTATTCAGTCCTTTATAATTTAAATATGACTTCATCCTAATGTTGCTGTTACAATTTATAAAGGAGACACATCTGGTTTTCCTTTAAATTATATAAATATTTTATTTTTTAAAGTTAATGAATCAAAGTAACTACTGTTTCCCACTCTTCCCAACCACCACTCCTCCTCCCAACCTTTGGCTCTTGGATGATCAAGACCAAGGTAATACTAATCTACAAAAGTTCTTCTTTTAAAAAATAATTTAAGCATGAACAAAAATCTTCTATCAAAATGGATTGAGTCGTAGTCCAGTTCCTAAAGGTGAGAATGGATTCACCTTTGCCCACATCAAAGCATCATTCAATGAAATAGCAGATTTCCCATCTTCAAGGAAAAATACAGGGCCCTGTACATAGTGAAAGTTGAAAAAAGAAAATATTAGATTATAAATTCATAACATTGTTTCAAGCTTCCAGAAACAGAATCACTGCAATAAGAACACTGGTGATATTCAGGCACTGCAAATAGGAATTCAAAAAATATGAGAGAAATTTGTTTTTGTTCTGAACTGCTACCAAATATAAAAACACTTTTTCAAATATCTCATTATATTCTTATTTCTTGATGCCTGTGAAAATAGAATTTCATTTTATAATTTTAACTCTTTGTATACAGTAGTGTTACCAAGGATAATCATTATTACTGAAAAATCTATTTGTTGCCACAAAGTTAACTTATTTTCTAAAAGCATATATCATAGAAAAATACTTAAATATACTTCACTATTTTAACCATGCAGCGTATGTCAAAATAGCTGGGGGGAAATTATTAAAGCTGAGAATTTCAATCATGCTTTACAGAAGGTGAAGAATATATATATTGCTCTATATATGCATATATAATATTAAATTACATTTAATCAAGCCACTTAAGGGCATATTTATACTTTACCTGCATCAGTTATTATGTATGCCCAGCTTAGCTACTGGGGGGGRAAAAACCTTTCAGTCTGTATTTCCTAGGAAATTTCTATTTCCTGACTTGAAAGGCAACATGTAAAAATCACAAAATACAGTAAAAAGTTTAGTTTCTTTAACTTGATAACCAAAAGCCTGATAGCTTTAAGACTTATTTTAAATGACATTTGTTGTTACAGAATCATTTCTAGATATTAGAAGTTGGTAGATAGATTCATTTTAGTTGGTACTTGAAATTTCAAATAATAGCTCAAGCACATTAATTTTCTTGTGAAATGGAAATTTCCTGGGAGGGAAATTATGTATATTAGCCAGGCGTGCCTTAGTGTATTTGAGATAATAAGCAGATCCCTTCCTCAAAGTAGATTTAACTACAGAGAGATTAGACGGTATTTATCAGGTCACTTGCTATCCTGAATGGAGAAAATGAATGCTAAGAGAGGAAGAAAAAGGAACCTGAAAGTAGCAAGTACTATAATGGCACATAAAGGGCAGTAAGTGGTGCTGAAATATACTCCAAATATTTCACAATGTTTTACTCTTAATTAAAAGTTATTGAATTGATCTTATTACTTTGGTTCTTTATTTCAGAATAGAATTGGGTAATAAAGGTGTAGACAATGATGTATGCTGTGCTTTTGAACATTTCAGTGTGTTTTGAAGACTCTGGTTTACAGTGGCAAGCTAAGCTTTAGGTAGGGGTCTATATTAGTATCCAGCTCTTTCATTCATTTTGAGTGGCTGTCTCAAAAAATAACCTCATTCTCTGGCTGGCATGTCAACATTTGTAAGTTTTAACATTACATTAAAAATATAAGAGTTTACTGTTAAAATGTGCATGTATGTATGGGGGCTTTTAGTATAATTTGTAATCTCAATTAGCATTTCATGGAAGTCAGCTTTGTTTCCTTCAGGAGGACTCCTCCAACTAGTCCTGGCTCCAAGATGAAGACTTCTCTAGTTCTTCATGATAATGACACCATTGGGTCACATTGAGAGGCTCTAGCATCATTCATCATTGTTAATTTGTACACGAGGGGAAATTATTCGGGAATTAKTCATCCCTCATGATTGATCCCAATAATTTTTAATTTTTGAAAAGTTTAGTAAATCACTGTAACATAATATCCCAATAATTTAACACAATTATCAAAAATACACATCCATCAGGTTTTAATGCTTTGTGTTTATACAACACAAATGGAAACTAGAAGGTTAAATTTAATCTGTTGTGATAAAATCATTTGTAACTGTTGACTGTTGCTTGGGCTCTCTTATTAAACTTCCCTCAGGATATAACCTGTATGTATTTTAAAATATATTTGTTACTAAGCATACATATCATTTGTTAGTGTATATATTACTTGAATTGCTTTTATGATAATATAATGACTTTCTCTGAATTTATTTTAGGGAGAAGAGTCCATTTATGCTAACTATTGTAGAAGCAGCATGGCACTATTTTCTTATGGGGCTCCATGCCTCATTATAGGTATCCATAGTTGTTTTAAAATAACATTTCAAAAATACATAAAAAGTTGAAATGAACATTTTATGTCTGACATTAAGCTGTACCTGGATTTTTAATCCCGTAAGACAAGACATGTGAATGTCACAATGACTTGGGAGATTTGATCCAGTCACATAATCTGGTCCAATAATTCCTTTGAGTGGTTCTTCCTTTAGTTTCTTTAATAAAGTTGCATAAACCATTCTTTGTGAATCAGAAGGGGGTGTATATGGCGATTCCTCTGATCTATATTTTCAACAAATATTAAATTTTCATTTTTATAGAATCACAGAATTATTGAGGTTTAGATTAGAAATAGTCTCTGATGATTATTTAGCTCTCCCCATCATAGGTAGAGGAAATCAATGTTAGATTTAAGTTAAAACAACAACAAAAAACTTTCAGAAGGCAGGAAAAACACCATTATAAATTATTACTGAATATGTGCTAAATAAATATTCATTCATTCTGCAAAAACTGATGAGACCATGCACATTTTCCAACAATTTTGTCTATCACATTCACTTCCTTCAGTATTTCAATTTTTATATTGTATCCACTCACTGATTGGTGGGCTGTGTGCAAGCTCTCCATGCATCCAGTTCCTTGGAAAGATGTTCAATTTTTAAGGGAACTGATACCTTTCGACGTTTTAATAGCTGGCTGAAATGTGAAAAGAAATTAATATATGGCATAAAAACTTAGATATCAGCAAAAACAAGTGCACTTCAATTTTGGATTTAATAATTGTTCAGAAATGTATGTACATATACCTAAATGTAATTATATACAGATATATACACACAGACATATATATCAACATTGTATGTACATGTGTGTATATACACTTGTATATTTAGAATTTAAATCACTTTCAAGTTCCAAGATGCTCCAGAAACACTGGTTGCATAAATCACTGTCAGTAAATACATAAATGAACTGCATAATGTATGGAGAATGGCTATAGATTAGCTGAGCAATTTTGAATAACACAGTGAGAGAGAATACTTAATTATCACTTTGATCATCTGATCCTATACAACAGAGATATAATGGCACTATGTAAAAGAAGGAGTAGATTTGAGAAGAAAGATTATTTTAATTCTGAACATACTAAATTTGAGACTGGAGCTTAGCAGGCTGCTGGAATACACCCTTAGGAGCTAGCAGAGCAGGTTAGTCTGGAATAAATATCTATGAAGATATTCATAGAAGTGATAAGTGAAGCTAAAAAATGATGAGATTTCTGGAGGACAGTGTATGGAAAGGAGAGGGGAGAGAAGAGGAACAGAGATGGGGGCCAGGAAAGGGAAAAAGAGCAGGGGATGAAAGGGAATAAGCCTTTTGGGAATTGCATATTTAGTGGATTAGGGAAACAAGCATAGGGAACAGACAAGAAAAYAAAGATGGTATTGTCAAAGAGAAGTTCTTTAAAATTAAGAATTTTTGAAGCTCTCTTTTTAAACTAACAAGTTTCCTTTAACTTAGATATATTCTCTCAAGTGTATCCTTAAATAAAAATAAATAAAAATCCTTTTTATTCTAATCTTAAATCTTAAATAAAAATACTTTTTATTCTTAATTTAAGCAATTATTTCCATTTCTTTATCATCACTGAGGCCATATTTAGCTGAATATATTTCATTAAACATTAATTCTGTGATACATCCTACTGTATCTTTTTAAATAATATCTTTTAATATTATTAAAACTGTTTGAATTTTGGTTATGCTCCCTGCATAGAAAGATTTTTCCTTGAGTATGCCAACAGTATTAGTTCTATATAATTGTTTAGGTTGCACTAGGTAGCAGTTACTTCTTCATGTACACCATAAGGGTGAAGTAGTCAGTAATAAGAAAGGTATTTCTCTCAGGATCCTCTACCTCATCTAAAGGGTACTCAGAAAAATTGCTTATCTCAAAGCTCTCAGCATCCATAAATTAAAAAGGTAACCTACTGTGCCATTTAGCAAACTAATAGATTTTGAAATGTATTTTGGAAGTGTACTGGGGATTGAACTCAGGGGCACTCAACCACTGAGCCACATCCCAGCCTTATTTTGTATTTTATTTAGACACAGGGTCTCACTGAGTTGCTTAGAGATTCACCATTGCTGAGGCTGGCTTTGAACTCATAATCCTCCTTTCTCAGCTGCCCAAGCCATTGGGATTACAGGCATGTGCTACCATGCCCAGCCCCTTGAAATGTATTTTTATAGAAGGGACCATGAATTTTATTTTGAGTGTAATAAGTTTTAAGCATAATGGCTGAAGTTCAGGAAGCTGCTAGAAAATGCAGAAGTATATTATAATTGAATATAAAATAAGAGGTTACCTGTTACTCACAAATTACATTTTTCTGACAGATTGGAAAGTGAATATACCTAGTCTCCTAGCTTATTTTAAAAGTAGAGTCATACAATTAAGGCCAGTGAGATGTAGGCATGAAGCCCTAGGAGAGCTTTCTTTCTTGTATAAAGTTGCCTTGCTTGAAGACAGTTCTTTGAAGTCTATCTTTTACCCTTAGTCTCTCTTTCTTACTTAGACTGTAGACATRATATATGCAGGGCTAGTAGCTATCTTGTAACCATGGAAAACCTATACAAGGAGAAAGAAGTCAAGAATGTCAGAGTTGAAGGAAGGAAAGGATTCAYGTCTTGATGGAATCAATGCATAGCTACTGCAGTAATGCCTTTGTAAAGTGTCCCGACACATAAAACCAGTAAACCCTATGTGCTTAAGCTAGCATAAGATTTCCATCATTTATAGTCTAATGCATTTTAACTCATATATCTTATTGCTGCTTTATTAAAAAGAAGATRTTGAGTAAATAAATCAATGCTTCTGATCCACTTAAGAGACTATCTATTTTAAAAAGAATTTCTCTAATTTCATGATACAAGAATTTTTTCTTTTACCTTGTGTACTCATAAAGTGCTGGAACAATGCTTTGGTACTGTCTTCTGATAGCCAATAATGCACCAATATAACCACATAATATAAGCAACTCATTTCGAGCTCTAAAAGAGAATATATATACATTTCAAATTCTATAATTTGAGGCATAGAACATTACTTTTGTATATAGTTCTTGGATATATTATCTGTATGTGTATGTGTGGACATACACACACACATATATATTCTGTTCTTGTATATATATTCTGAGGATAACATTTGTAACAAAATATGTTTAGAAAATTTTCTGAACTTGAGGGAGATAACTTATTCATTAGTTAATAATTCTTATTCAGGACAAAGAATATCAACTACATTTCCTGCAGGGGAACCTGCCAGTGTCCCAGGCTGCAGAGTCATCTTTCATAGATACAATTAAAGAAAGACCCCCCCCCGCCAAAGCCTTTCTTATAAATTATACCCAAGTCTCTGAAGGCTTAAGTTATATGATGATAATGTTTTAAAATGGTACTTGAATTTAGGGTTGATGTCTATTTTTTACTTTCTGGCACTTGTAGTTTCTTGAGGACTTGAGGTCTAAAACTTCAGGACACTTTGAATGAGCCAGGTGTGTGTGTGTGTGTGTGTGTGTGTGTACACATAAGTAAATATATATACACACACCACATAGTGTTAAATGGGACTGTTAATATTTAATTTCAGTCAATGACTGTATATTTTTAAAGAATATAACAAAAGTATAATTTTCTAGAAGTACAGCTGTCTGTCCAAGAGGATCCTATTTTACTGATAGAAACACCAAAAATAATAGAACCATTTAAAAACATTGCATTGATTCTTTTGTATTTTAGACAAAAAGTACTCACTCAGTACATGTATGTAAGACTAAGTTTTCAGTACGAATATAACTCAACAGGTCAAGAATAGGATAAATGGTATCCAATGTCCAATTTGAACTACTGAGGTGKTCTGGAAGAACAAAATCAAATACAAGATTCTCTAAATAATAATGTCAAAATTTGTTCATCTAATTTTTAATTTACATAATTCTCTAATCGTTAATCCTATATATCTATATATCTTATTTTCTAGATCAGAAGTATTTTTCTAGTCACTATCCGTCAGGTCTCCACATAATATTTCTCATTTTAAAATTCAGGATGGTCAGTGCTTGATTTTAAGGCTGTCAAGATGAACAAACAGATCAGATAAATTAAGTAGATTTAAARTTTATATTACCAATGATAAACTTACCTTTGACAAAGTCAATACCAATAGGAAGAGCTTTTTCAGGTTCTTGACTTAATAAATAATACTTTATAGATTCAAATACATTGCCATCTGCATGGGCCGTCTCAGCTAACTGCATACATTCTTCTACTGTGGGGAGTTTGCACTAGGAAATAATTGATTTAATGAGAATGTTACTAASATTTATAGAAACAGAGCAATGGTATAAACACCAACTATTTACATATACCTGTTTTATTTATTAAAATTGCCAAGAAAGATGCAATTAAAATTATTTTAATAAGAGCATATATTTATATAAATATATTTAAGATATTTAAAACAATTTTTAAGATCTAAAGATAACAGATCAATCTTTAATATCTAACAACAATAAGTTCAGCCACTAGCTTTTCATCAAATACCTATTAAAAGAGGTAGAATTGAATTTCCTGATTGTAATATTGAAATTAGTAACTAGAAATTCAATTTAGCAAAAAATACTAAAAATCAGTTTTTTTTCTTTTTTAGTTGTCCATGGAACTTTATTTTATTTATATGTAGTGCTGAGAATYGAACCCAGTGSCTCACATATRCTAGGCAAGCGGTCTACCACTGAGCTACAACCCCAGCCTGAAATCACTTTTTTCATAATATATATACTGACCATTGGCAAAAACTACAWTATATACAGCAAAACATTGAAGGTGCTTGATTACATGTTTTCTGCATTATCAATTCACTTAGCCTTTGAACCAAGTGATCTTATTTCAAAGAGGCTAAAAATGTACAAGTTCTAAAATCTGACATTTTGAAATGCCCCCATAAAGTTGAGATTTTGGTTCATAAAGTTTTATTATTATAAAATATACCTTTTATACAAACAGAGATATGATAAATTGTGGTATAAAGGTATATTAAGAATTGTAATGCAAAAAAATAAGAGCTCATGTATAATGGCATAATTTGGCGTGAACATACTTTATATTCAGAGTTATGAAAAATGGGCTGTAAATAGATAATTGTGAATGTAATGCATTCCCCTATTGTCATGTATGAAATAAAGAAAAAAAGAAAAAAAATACCCCAAACTACATTCCTTATTGTTTTTTTTTGCTAAAATAACCTTCAATTAAGTTGTTCTACTACCATAATATGAATAGTGATCGTTACCTTTTATATCAAGTTTTAATGTTTTTATGATTTTTTAAAGCTTAAGAATGCTGAAGTCTGTTTCTAAGCAAYGTTGATAGTTTAATGCTTTTTCAATTTATTTGTTTATTTATGCATTTATTCAATAGTTATGTATTTCTCACTGTTTTAACAATTAGGTAGAATGAACATTTTAGATCTTTCAATATCTAAGAAAGTAAGAAAAAAAACGAATTAAGGTGACGGTCCCATGTACAGCTTTACATATTGCTTGCTTCCCCATTGTTATTCATGAGTTGCCAGTAACTTACTAAGCAACTAATATGGGCTAGGTATAGTGCCTGCCTAAATAAGAATATTTTTGTCCTATCTTAAAATTCATAAAATTATATGTTACCATAATGTTTGAATATAGTTTTTAATATTACTTCTTAAATTGTTTAGAGTTATTAACACCTTTACAAATATTCACTAGTCCTTCTAAAGAGTTACTAATAAAGACTAAGAGTGTGGTTACATCCTTTTAGAATGTGGGATGAAAGTGAGGTAAATACCACTCTTTCTCCCATTATCAAGGTCAATGGTAAAAGTTGCAATTAGATAAGATAAATAAGTTATGGGGCTGGGGATATAATTCAGTTGGTATATTGCTTGCCTTGCATGGACAAGGTCTTAGAAGTTCAATCCCCAGCAGCCCCCYGAACCCCCCACAAAAAGTTCTGGTGTTCTACTGCACAACAAGAGGATCACATTTAATAACAACATATTGAAAATTTCAAAATAATTAAAGGATATTAGAATTTCTTACTACAAAKAAATGATAAATATTCRAGGTGATTGCTAATTATTTTGATTTGATTATTCTACAGTACATACATGAATCAAAATATCACTTAGAACCCATAAACATATACAACTTKTCAATTAAAAATAAATAAAACTATATCTACATAAACTTTTCTAAGTCATTTAACCTCTCCAATCCTTGATATTACTCACTTGCCCCAGAGGATATCTGTTGGCATACATCCAACTACTACATAATAAATGTAAGATATATTAAAAAATAACCCTCTTGCCTCCTTCCACATACACTTTAATTTCAATGTAAAATAGCATTTAGTTGAATAATGCAAAAGCAAAAGCACAGCTTATTTTAAAAAGTAATTCAGGGGCTGGGGATGTGGCTCAAGAGGTATCGCGCTCGCCTGGCATGCTCGGGGCACTGGGTTCGATCCCTCAGCACCACATAAAAATAAAATAAAGATGTTGTGTCCACCAAAAACTACAAAAAAAATATTTAAAAATTCTCTCTCTCTCTCTTTAAAAAAAAAGTAATTCAAAGAATGTGAAGTGTTTAAATAAGCTAAAATCTCCCATAATACAACAAACTACTGGTAATTCTGGACATTTATTCTTTCACCAGTGATTTCTCTGATACCACACACAAATTCTCATACTCACACTTTTGGTCTATCTATATTAACAATACTCAATAATTATATATTGTTGAATGAATGGGACCAYTCACCCACTGGGGGAAAACTCAAGGGTCAAGTAAGCGAAAAAAACAAACAACAACAACAAAAAACTTAGTTCTCAAGTAAGTAAAAAAAAAAACAAAACAGTTATTTTGAAAGTTAATGATGAGAAAATATTTTATTGATATAAAATTTCTCAAGTATTCTATAAGTAATACACATGGTTATTTAAAAATGAAATCATATGGCATATTGATAGTTTTGTGATTTTTCTCTTTAACTACATTTTAAAGCCATCTTCKCATACCAACAAAAATAGGTGTTTTAATAGATTAATAGCACTGAAACACAGAAAGGTACTGTGACTTATATAAACATTTTTTTACAACTGTTAACCATTTTTGGTGTTTTATATATAACATTAGCATATAGATTTMTATGTTCTGCAAATGAACATTTTAAAGCACTTTAGAATAATGYATATGAATTTCATTATATTTTATTTGGAAAAGATCTTGAATTGTCTATTTAAAAAATGTAYACATACCTTCAGATGCAAAGTTACACAGTGGAAAGGGCTTTGAACTTGGAGTTGGGCTTGCTAAAGTTGAAATTCTCACTACACTTTTAATTATTAGGTAAGTTCCTTCCTTTTCTGAGTTTATTTTTTTTTTTTGCAAAATAGGATAATATTCCTTATTTCATGGTTTCATGAGACTTTAGTAATATACAAATATGTGTAAGAATTTAGAATAGTAATAGGCATATAACAGAAGTTCAATAAATATTATTTCTTTTTGTTATAATTATTTTGAAGTTTAAAGTATCTCAAAGGGATATTTGTTTTTCTTCATGTATTTCTATTTGCTTGAACCTGAAATTTATTAAATTATCACACTGCAATACACACTARAATCATCACCATACCTTCTCATGAATATCATTTATTTCTTCAATAGACCCTGGGTAGAAAGCACAGAGTTTTACTAAATGTAGTTCATTATCAGGAATCATCAGGAGAAGATCGGCTGCCAAATTCCTGTTCATGTAACAAAAGGGGATGAAGTCATTGAGTAAATGATCTAAAAATAATATAATGATTTCAATAGTAGGAGACTCAGATAATGAACCTTCCTTGYTTTTCTATTTATATAAACTATTAATTTCCCAATTGGTCATGAAACTCCTCTAAATGTAGGTTACAGAAAACAAACAGTATAAAGGATAAATGCATTATAAAATTACGAAATAAATTTTAAAAATCTAAACTTTATATACACAAGTCCCTAGATATTTATAATCAATATTATTATTACAGAATAATTTTCTAACTAAATTAAGTAGTATTGAGTATGTTCTTTGGAGCAAATTATAAAGCAAATTTTGTGAAAGCTAACTCTCATCAATTTTCCTTCCAACAATGGAAAATCTATTATCAGTTCACTGAACTCTATAGAATACTTAGTTATTATAAGCTTAGACATTTTAGTATAATGCATATTTCTTAAACTTTAAGTAGAAATTGAAGACAGAAATATAGTTTTTGTTAAAGATTTAATCAACAGAATAAAACACTTAAGGGTTTTAAAAATGTAAAATGCTATGAGCTTCACTGCCTTACACTGAAAATATTGCCTATAAAACCAGTTTTTCAAATCACTAGGTGAGGAGTTTTGGTCTGCATGCATCATAATTGAGAAAACATCTAATTTTCGCTGATTMAAGATGTTTAGAAATCAACAAATTAATATATAATGTATGATTTAAAATAGAGGATATTTCAAATGAGAATTTATAGAGTTAGGTACCAGGGACTTCATCTTGGTTTTGAAGACTTCAGTAAAATATACATTGGTCATTTATTGCCTAATCAAGAATGCAGAGTATAGAATAGAAATAGAAATGATTTATATTTCCGATGTCAAATACAAAAGTTAATTTAAAAAATGTTCACATACATATACACACCACAAACTACTAGAACAATAACAAATTAGGCATAMTGTAARGTTTTAGAATAAAAAACTTTAGTGGGGTACCATAAAATTCTATATAAAATATTTTAATAATTCAAAATTCCACAAATAAATAATTTTCTATATCATGTCAATAGAGAATTGGTAAAAGATTACAATGTTTTTATGTATTATTTTCCCCTAGCCACTTCATAATTAAACATGTTTCCCAAACTGACAATATTTCTATTACCATTAGTGAGATAAATTTTTGAATGTTTTTATAAGTTTCAAATAAGTTTACCTGTTATTACTAGAGAGTATAAATGACTTTATGTATTTCGTGATACCAAAATTTTATAGCAGTTTTAAATAATGTCCATGTAATACTTTAGTTCTCTATAMAGTATCTGTACTAAAACTRTACTTAAACTTGCTAACTTCAGACAAATCTTGAWTTTCTTGAGTATAATTCTATATCAATAGAGAGAAATTTATAGTAAGGCCAGCTAAYTTTATTCATTCTTCACTTCCCTATTTTTTTAAAATTGAGTACATTGATGGGGGTGATGGGGCGTGTGCTCGTGCATATACATATTTACGTATAAAATGATACAGAACAACCAAATTATATAAACTCTTGAATGCCACTATGAGAACAAGTATTTCTTTTTTCTTTTTCTTTAGCTAAAGTAGCTATTGTTTGTTACTGTAGAAAGGTATGGTTCATTTACTGTACATATTTTAAGTATCATGAATGATTTTGTGCCTAGGTTATAGGAGCTATTCTTTATTAACTTGGTAGTTAGATTTTATATAAATTATATACATAAAAAGGCATGCTATAAAGCAAAGTGAAAATAGTTATTGAGCATTTTTTAATATAGATATAGTACTTAAATACTCAAAACAGTATAGAATTTWAAAAAATAAAAATCTTTAAAAATAAAACTAATACCTGTATCCAACAGATGGAAAGCTAAAAAGGAAATATTGAACATGAATATTATAAATATGTGAATATCAAGGAAATTTATACCAGTAAATGTAAAAAAAACATGGGGTGTTTATGGTTTATAAAATTATGAGCATTGTCTTTAAGTCATGCAGCTATTTTTATTTGTTTTTAATCTGTGGACTTCATTAATAGTCATGAAGATTACAGATTTCTTCTGGAAATTATCCTAACCAGCACCTCATAGTTCAGAATTTGAACTTTATCCTGGTTTCTAYACATATCTAGAGCTTTATAAAGGAAGAGCTCTTGGTGGGGGATAGTAAACAAGGCAATAGAAATTTATTTTTTAAATTAAAAATATAGCTAGTTGAAAGATTCTAAGGATATTTTTAATATAATATGCATTTGCTATGTTTTACCTTAACTTTTAAAATATTAATTCCATTTCATCAGATTTCATTAGGCCTTTTGGCACGAAGTCAGCCTTATTTGTAAGGAAATAATTTGAGTAAACTTATGCTTTGGGACAGGTCTAAATCAAGTCATAATAACTACATAATTCTTGACAGAAAGATTTAATTCTCTCTGAGGATAGTCATTATTAAATACACTTAAGTGTGAAGTTGATGGTGGGGTACTGCCACATTTTGGTGGGGAAGAGAGTTCTTACATCACTAAGATGTGCATAAAAATTAGAATAACCATGGGATTCTTAATTTGCTGTGAAATTCCTAGATCCCAACTGAAAAGGATAATAGAAAGTGTGCTTTCTCCTCTGCCCTCCAACACCAAGTCAGCCACAGATGAAAGAGATGGTATACAGTAGKAGCTAAGAGCTCGCATTTTGGAGCCAGTCTATGTACTTTTGAATCTCAGCTTTACCACTTACMGAGACCTCAGGCAAACCAATACTTGCCTCACAGGACTTAATGATTTATGACACAAAAAGTGTTTAACATAGTGCTTGGCACACAATAAGCAGTATAACATGTTAATTAGTCATGATAAATARGTTCATTTGGAAACTTCTTGAGGTCCTAAGTATTTTGTTGAAAGAGAAGAAAAAATTCTGAATTCATCTTTATTCAACAAACTGTATTGAATGACAGATAGCGTCCCATCTTTCCTAAAGGTGTCTTTCTAATGATGGACTCCCTGAMCTAAGAACAAGGCTCTGCAGATCTGAGTAAGAACTGCTTTAATCTAGAATTCCAGGTTTCCCCTGGGAATTCCCTGGGTCCATCTCTTAAGAGGACTTCTAGAGTTCAGGGAGAGGTCCTGTTCTAAGTCTTCATCAAAACTATATTTTTTTATTGTTTTCCCTTAGAAAAGTAACTTTATTTGCATTCCCTACATTAGGATACAAGATCTCACAAGAATAGGTATAGATGTGCAAAGTTTTAAGAGGTGGGATTGTGTGGTCTTGATGAATTTAAGAAGTGCACATTTGTTGTCYCCTAACTCTTGAGGTGCTTGAAACATTATGGAGCTACACCTGACTACTTCAGAAGGGGTCATGGTRGATTTCATTATATAACCATGGTAGTTCTCACCTGTACCATCATCATATARTGTCCTAATACATAACAAATGTAATTTATAATATTTCAAAAATGCATGTAATCACTATAAAATTATTCTTTCAATTTGGAAGTTCTTACCATATTGGAATCATCATGCATTTTCTTGCCAGTAATTCTAGGGCATAGTGAGTTGCTGGTGCTGCAGATTCTCCTAGTACCATTCCCACACAGACGGCCAACTCCAGTTCATTTCCACGAATCAGGTATGCCATAGCAAGCTTGCTCAAGAAGAAAATAATTTCTTCAGTTGCATAGATGCTGGGTAAGATCATCATTCCCCTCCAAGCTCATAAAGTAGATAAAGTAGTATTAACCTATAAATCAATTATTCTTATAAAGTATTGTTATATTCCTGTACAGTAAGAGTAATTGCAATTTTCAAATAAAAAATCTTGATAATGAGACATATGAGAAATTGACCAGGTCAGAATTGAAGACTTTAGAATTTTTGCTTTTATTTTTGCATTTAATAATACTCGGCAATATCCTCAACACATCCTTCAGTTTTTCAGAAAAAAATATAAATTTGAAAAGTTTCTACAAGATTGTACAATAATATTAAATCATTCCCTAAAGCCAGTATATCTAAGGATAAGTGCAAAATAGAACCTCTGTATTTTCCTTTTTACGTGAATGGGTCAAGTGTAMTGTGCCTTAAAAATAAAATTTGTGATGAACATATAAAAGTATACTTAAAAACAAGTGCTTTAGTTTGTATCAGTTCTCATAATCCTAATAACTACAAGTGAAATATGTAAGGTAGTTACACTTTTTCATTTGGGGGCTGAGGACATCTGAGATTCTGAGAGATTATGTGATCTGATCAAAGTCAATTTGTGTTAGAAACAGAACTAAGATCTTTGAATTCCATGTCTAGTGATTTTTTTCCTTCATCAGACTTATCAATTCTCACCTATGAATTATTTAAAGCAAGATTATGAAAATACATACCATGTTTTAAAAATTAATCAAGAGATCTCATAGTCTGCAGCATTTGTGTGTGCTAATTTGGCAAGTAATCACTCAGGTTTGGAAGCATGCAAACCAGAATTTACGTAGAAGTCACCCCTCAAACACCATGACACAWCTAATGAGGTTTTCAATCACAAGCACCAATTTGAAATGTTGTACCTCAATATTATCTACAGCTAGATGGCAACATGCAGCTAGTACTGCTCGACCATCCTGAAAATACCATTCTGCCAGTTCTTTACTGACTTTGTGGAGGAGTCTAGAATGAAAGAAAAAAAGAAATATTCTTTATTAATGCAAGAATTCCATCAYAAGTGTGAATAATGTCCTTTTCAAATGGGGATTAAGGGACCAAACAGGTTTTAATTTGACATCTTGATTTAGGTCTAAACCTTATTTAGGAAAAAAAATTCAGGAAAGCAGTCTCTTCAAATATATACTCTGATAGTCCTCTCCAGCCTCAGCACCTAAACTCTAAGAAGAAAAGCCTGATTTTTAAAGCTTCCTTTCTCTAATGGGTAAATTATGACTTGCATGTATAATGTTTAACTTTAGAAGAATCACAGGTTGAAATGATTTTTTTCAAAATTTAGGTGATGCCCAAGATATGACTTGTGTTATGTCAGGTCTTAAAATGCCAAGTTTAAAAATGGCAGAGAATAGGAGCAAAGATCCAGGAATGACTATATGACTCCCAGCACATTACTACTCATTAACATTTCACAATCCTTCTGTAGTTTCTGAGTGTCTGAAAAGTTTAAGTATCTTATTGTTGAGGTCCATAATAGGCACTAATAGAGAGGGTGGGAAAGATAGACTAAGGGTGAAAAATTCTAATTTCTGCTTCTTTTATAATATAACCAACTGTATGGACATCCTACTTARAAGAGGAATAAGTGTTATTCTATTCTACACACTAATACTGGTGTCATGGGATTATAGACACTATGGTGACATTACATATACTCACTTTACAGTGAATCATCAATAAACAGCATACCTTATTTTACTACCTTGTCCAACAGGTTCAATCATTTTTTTTAAGTATTTAGGTGCTTTAATTGCTCTCTCTCTCTCTCTCTCTCTCTCTCCTGAAATGCATGCTACTTTTCTGGAAGTTACATAAAATGCATGCAGATTGTGTCTACATGCCTGACATTTTCTTAATTATCCAGGGATGAAGGCTGTCATGGAACTCCATGTTGAGAAATGCAGTTGATCATAAGGCAGCAAGTCCTCAGAGAAGGATGTGCTACATAACCTCAAAAACTTMTAAAGAAAACCAACTATAAAAAAATTCTGACCCAAAATAAAGAGTAAATCACTTACTCATCAAAGCCTTCCTTGTAGATATCATCAGAATATGAAGCTCCTTTAGGTGTAGAAACATGCAAGTTTTGCATATTCCCCTCGCATGCAGCCTAGGGGGTTTAATTAAACTTTTAATTAATCTTTAGCTATATAACTGACAAATTTAAAAATATTGTTTGCAGCAAATTACATTTAAATCATATTGAAAGTTTATGAGATTTGGAAAGAACCTTAGAATTTGAAAATAAATAAAATGTAACTCCACTGTGAATATCAACTTGAAGCTTCAAGTAAATGATTACTAAAGAAAAGTTGTTCAAATACATKGTATATCACAGTGAACAGCATGTGAAAAGTTCAGAGTTCTGAGATGCTTGCCTATTTAAAAATCTAAAATAAGTTCAGTATGACCACAGCAAAGATAGTATTATAAAAATGTTGAAGCAGAAGGCTGGGGAKGTGGGTTGAAACCAAGCTATCTATGACTGTCAACCACTTGCCTATGAGAACAATATTCTCCATTCCTCATACCCACCCACTAAAGTATGTGGCTGCTATATTTATGTGGTTTTACCTGTGCAACAAGCAGAGCTTCTTTAAGCTGACCTCTTGACATAAAAAAATTTACTAGCTTTYTCACATCACCAGTGGCTATGCAGTAAGGAATGACATCATCCTTATCTTCCTGGATTAATTGGTCAGCTCTCCTAATAAAATAAAATTTTTATTATACTATATTAAATTAAAGCAAATTATTAATTTCAAGGTTTTCAGTTGGACTGATATTTTCTGAAAGCATGTCTAAAATTTGTAGCAAATTTCATAAAGCTTTTGGGGACATCATTTAAAGAAATACAGATTTTATAATGAATTCACATAGAAGACATAAAAGTTATATAAGATAATACTACAGATATATATTTAGCCTTATAACACTACATTTTCATTATATTTTAATTATTTACTAAAATGAACAATGTATTTGAAAGCAAGTTGTAAAATGGAAATGATTGTATATTTACTCTCAATTGGATTAATCAAATATGTGGATTCTACATAGTTAAAAACAGAATTTTATGTGTTTTAGTAAGAATAACAATGAACAGAGAGCCTCTTAAGTTGAAGTAGTGTAAAAATCATTAAAAWGGATAATACAAGAACATAAATATTGATAATAAAATGCAAAATATTGTAAGTAACCTAAGCAAAGATCTTTAAAGATAAATTAATATTCCAGACATATGAGGGGAAAACAGGGATCAAGATTCTGGATACTGAATGGTATACATGTATCTGTTTCTGTATATCTGTATTTCCGTACTCATCACTGTCTGTCTCCCTGAGTCCTAAATATTTTCTCAATGATCAATCTAGTTCATTCTATCCTAAATTTAACTCAAGTTTTGTTCCAGACTAACCTGGCATATTTAATTTATGTTGGCATTTGAAATATGCTGAAGTTTAACTTCTAATCTTTAGGTTGATAGAGAARATAATTTTCATATTGTTCATCTAACTTCCAGTTAACCATCTCTAGTTCATAGACTCAACTAGGTACTCCTCAACAGCCTTTACTTCTCATCCTGATTTCCTCATAGTAGATGTTTAGAAAACACTCTACTCTCCTGGACATTTTGGAAGCAGAGTCAAGAGAATTCCAATCAAACTCTCTACGTGACTGGCCTGAATGGGCTGGATCTATAAAATATAAACCTCAGGATTTGTGAGGAGATCCTTTTATGCCCATTATTTGGAGTAAAGAGCAGAAAAAAAAATCGGGTATTTGCTGGTGAAGATCAATGAAATACAATTGGAAGCGTTGTCTGTATTCCCATCTGCAACCTCTCCTCCCTCCCATTGCCTCCCTTAGCCCCTTCTAATCTTGTCTCAGTCTCCTTTCTGGCCAAGCAGCTCTTAAGGTTAAGGATACCTTCCATTTGTACAGATTTACTCTGAGTTACCGAGTCAAGATTATCTATTTGACATCCTATTAAAATCACAAAGGAATCTATAACTCATCATGTCCAAAGAGAACTAAGGATCTTATGTCTCCTTTGAATGAAATAATCTCCTAATTTTCACTTTTTTGGGGTTGTTGGTTTTTTGTTTTGAAATCCCAGTGAATAGCAACAGTGTTTCAAAACCTAAAACTGAGGAATTATTTGTGACACCTTCCTCACCACTATTACCAAGTCCAGCTAATTTTAAATCCTATGTATGTCAATTTTTTCCACTTTTCTCCCCCATTACCATTTAACTGTGCCACTGTTGTCTCCTGACATTATTGTTCTCATGCTCTTCAACGTCTCCTCATATTTGTTATTGACCTTCTCTAATCTGTTCTTGATAGTTTAGYCTGTGTGAACTTTCAAAATGAAATTCTGATCAGGTCACTTTCTACTCTGTTTAAAGTTTTTAATGTCTTCATTTGCTCATAGGATAAAAAAGAAAGAAAAAAAAGAAAAAGCTTAACATGTTACAAAACCCCCAAACATTTAGCTCCTAACTACCTTTTCTCTTTCACTTGGCACCACGCCCAATGCTGGCTTCTGTACTTAACACCCTTTTAGATTCTAAATGGCATAAAATTAAGCTTTTGCTGAGGTTGAAACAGTGTTTTATGAAATAAGTCTCTGCTGCTGTCTAGACTTTATTA